ACTATGTAGTTACTATTTTTAAATTACTAATAAAGATACGAGCAAGGCCTCACCTTAATACCAAAAAAAAAAAAAAAAAAAAATTTAATCGAGAAACAAATGTAAAAACAATTCGTATTAGATGTGAAATGCATATTGTACACATTATATTTACAAATTTTGAGTTTACTGCTTTTGGAAAATGACTAACTAAATTAGAATTTTCTAAAAAACTTTTACCAATTAATCTTTTACACTTTACATGAGAATTTCATGATGAATATGATAAAAGTAATAAAGATCAACCTCTAAATATAAAAAAAAAATTATTACAAATTTTTATAAAAAACTATTTGGATTTTGTTTTACACAATATCAATTTTCTATATCTACTATATAGAGTTATGAGTTAGAATGTACAAATCAATATCTTGAATGTTATCAATATCATTATAAATTTGCTAAATGGTTTATTTCACAACTAGAAAGTTTAACACAACCACCTACTCTTTATCTTAATAAGTAGAAACTTTTTTATAGCTAGCTTCAAGACAAAAAATTGAATCTTCAAATAAAATGTTTGGTAAAATTTAAAGATTATTTTTATTGACCTTTAATAGATTTTATGTCAGGTTATAATTCAATTCCAAGAATATTATCTAAGGACAAACTTATTATGCTGCTACCAGGCTATCAGGCACATAAAATGTCTGATAAAATAATTGAATGGTATAAATTTTTAGAAGATATTGTTAATAATTTTGATTTTTTTTTTCTGAAGAGCTATTAGGAGCTATAAAAACTTTACCTGGTGATGAATTTGGCAATCTTTTTGATGGCTTAGAATGTGGAATACAAAAGCTTTAAAGTTATTTTTAAAATGGTTTCTTTCTTAGACACAACTACCTTTATCTATTTGCTACTTAGGTGAAAGCTTAGAACAATCTTTTGCCTGAAACTATTGATATATATTACAAAATAAAGTTAACTCACAATTATCATTAACTAATATTGAAATTGAGTTTACTAAACAATTAAGTAAAGATATTAAAACTAGAAAAGAAGATACCTTCAGATTAAAAGATATGTGGCTTTATGATAATGAATTTAAAAAAGAGTTTAATCACTTTTGTGA